AAAAGTTAGGAGATGTAGGTTTTTAGCTGAGAACCTTATCATCCCCAATGAATATGAAGTGGGGTTCTGTTAGAAGGAAGAATACAATAACCCCAGCCACTCAGGAGGCTGAGGCAGGAGGAGCACAAGTTTCAGGGCAGCCTGGGCAACTCAGCAAGATCCTGTCCCTGAAGATAACAAAAAGGGCTGGGGTGTAGCCCCGTGGCAGAGCACTTGCCTAGCGTGCATGAGGCCCTGGGCTCAACTCCCCGGGCCACAGAAAAGCCTATGTATACATGGCATCAATGTGGAGGACTGGCAGCCTCCTCTGTCCCCGTCTCTGGGAGACCAGCTGCTATGCTGGCAGGAAGCCCAGGGCAGGTGACTGGCTGAGGAACAGCCACCTGGAAGGAGTGGCTGAGAGCTCCTTGGATGTCCCAGCCCCTGTCCCTGCCCCGCATGCAGCCCCACAGAGCCCTCAGCCAACACCACAGGCAGCAGAACCACCCAGCAGAGCTCAGGAGACGCCATCGTCACGACCCTTGTTCCAAGCCGCTGCGTTTTGGAACATTCTGGTGCTCAGCAGCAGTAACTGGAACAGCTGGGACAGGGGAGGAATGAACCTCAGTTGCTTTAAGGTCTGTGCTGACTGATCAGCTCTCACTGCGTCCACCCCCCTGCCTGCAAGCCAGGGCTCCAGGATCTGAACAGGACCTTGTGGGAGACACGATGTCCACCATGCAGCCAAGATCAGGGCAGGTCTCGACACTGGCTCCCAAAGGGGGAAATGTTCTGCCCCGCAGGTGACACTGGTGATAGCCAAACACAATTCTCTTGCCATATTTGAGGCACTAAAAGCCAAGTCTCTGTCTTCCAATAGAAATCATGAGCATCTCAGGGTCCAGGCCTACATTTCCCAGAATCCTCTACATTTCCCACAATCCATTTCAGAGGGGTCAGACCCATGTGACTCGTTCTAGCCAATGGATTATCACTACCAGGCTGAGGCAGTTAGGAGCTGGTGCTCCCCTCCATCCTCCTCTTCCCCTCTGGAGGGGGCTCTGAAAGCCACCAAAGGGGGTGCTGTTCCAAAATGGAGGAAGACTGGACTTCCAGTCCCTGGTGTGGAAGTGAGCCCGGCTGACCGGCCTTACTGGAAGGAGAAGTAAACTTGTGTTGGCTGAAGTCACTGAAGTTTCAGTTTGTTATAGCCACTGAACACAACCTCACACTGACTGCCTAGCATAATATCTGGAAAAAGACGGGATTCTCGGGGAAATCCTATAGACATTGTGGGTCATTTTGCCCAGCCCTAACTCACATAATTCACTATCCAAGAATCCCAGGACCTGGTGAAGAGCCATCGCCCACAGGCAGCACTCTGCTGGTCCCACCTGCTTGACAGGAAAAACCATCTATTACAGAATGAATATCATTTGAAGGGGCTCCAGCTAAAGACCCCTCCTAGCATGATGCACATGGATGCCCACACGTCACCACCAACGAGCTCAGTGTCCCCACTTGGAAGACTGCGTGGGGAGGTCTTTGCCATCCATTCTCACATTTTAAAATTCCTTCATTCCTTTCTATCTGCATAATTTGAAGAGGGGCAGAGAAGGAATTTGGAAATATTACCCTCCGCGGGTCAAAAAGATTATAGTAGGAACCGGAGCAGGATTCTGACCCTTCCCCACTGGGGGGGGAACCTGTTTTCAAAATTTAAATTTAGCAGCTGCTGGGTGCAATGACACACACCTCTAACCCCAGCTCCTCGGGAGCCCGAGGCAGGAGGATCGCAAGTTGAAGGCCAAACTGGGCAACTTAGCAAGACCCTCCCTCAAGAAAAGAAGGAAGGGAGGAGGGAGGGAGCGAGGGACAGAGGGAGGGAGGACAGACAGCAGCAATTTTGGCAACACCCTCTGCCTTTTTCTGGCAGCAAACTTCCTGAAATTAACAAATGGCCTCTGTTGTGCGTGACCTGCCCTCATACCTGCGGGGCGCCCACGGACAGCGCTGGTTAGATCCACACCCACTTCCAGTTCTTCCTCTCCTCTGCCGTGAGTCCTCGGTTGGAAAGGTCAACTCATCCAATTAGGACAGGAAATGCTGCCTGCAGATATCTCCCAGAACCCCTCGATGCCTGGGGCAGGATAAGCAGGCGGAAAACTTCTGCAAAAGAAAAATAATTGCAATAACGGCTCAGCCCTTGTCCTAGAGGTTTCTAGCTACTAAACTTAGCAATGTCAGTCCTGATTTGAACAATCTGATTTTTTTTCTGCAGTCTGTAATTTTATTGGCTCAAATTATTCCAACAAATTTGCAATATATAAAAAAAAAGGTAGCTATCATACCAAAATGTGAAAAGTGGTGATCTGATATAAAAAAGACAAACTCCTGACAGCTGGGCTGAGCGGACACCAGTTCCACCTGGACTAGAGCTGTTATTTCTCCCATGATCCCCCTGCTCCTACCCTGACCCCCCACAGTCTATTCCATCGACAGCCACCAAAGGGCACCTGTGAACACCTAAGTCAGGTCACATCCTTCCCCTGCTCAGAAACATTCCATGGCTCCCACTTCACTTGAGACAAGTCTTTCCAGGACCCATAATGCCCCATTATCTCGTGCCCTTGCCTCCTCCCATGTCCCCTTCACCCCACTCCCTCCTGCTGCACTAGCCTCCTAGCTCTTGCTCAAACTTGCTAAGCACAGTCCTACCTCAGGGCCTTTGCACTTGCTATTCCTGCTGCTTAGAAAGCTCTTCCACCCAACTCCCTCTCTAACCTGCATGAATTTTTGTTCTGGTCTCACTGTCTTAATGAAGTCCACCCCAGCCACTCTATTTAAAACCATAACCCATGTCCCAGCCTTCCCAATCCCTTCACCCTGTTCTAGATTCTTTTTTCTACACTGTATCCTAACACATTTACAGGCAGATTTCACATTTATTGCCTATCCCCTCTCATTCTAAAGTGAGCCCCGTGAGGATAGGAACTTTTATTCACAGCTGGATCCCGACCACCAGGAAAGTACGTGGCCCATCACAGGCACAGAATAAATATTAATCAAAGGGATGGATGGATAAATAGATGAGACACCTGCTTTGGAATATCAGAATATGGTTTTGGAACTTTTGGAATTTCTAATTTTGGAATATTTTAATTTTGCTATGTAAATAGGTTTTTATTTTCTTCTTTCTATGGTGTCCTGTTTGAGTTCAAATCCCTTTTCTCAGTCCTCTAGGATTTCCCTCCAACATGGATCTTAAAGATCTTGCTCTGTGTACTATTTATGAAACTTTTATATAAATTGAAAACTATTTCCCTCCCCCCAAAAAAAATACTTTTAAGAAAATCACCCAGTCCTGGGGCACAATTCGCATGTGGACTATACGCCAGATGCTAGGACGGTATCAGTGTTAAGGTTCTCAAAGTTGATGATTGTCTTAAAGTTAGGTGAAAGCACATTGTTCTTAAGAGATGCAGAGTGAAGTATTCAGGGAAGAAAGCACAGAATGTCCACAACTAACTCCCAAGAGATCCAGGAGAATAGTCTGGGCACGGTGGCATACAACTGTAATCCCAGAGGCTCAGGAGGCTGAGGCAGGAGGATTGCAAGTGCAAAGCCAGCCTCAGCAACTTAGTGAGGCCCTAAGAAACTCAGTGAGACCCTGTCTCTAAATACAAAAAAAAAAAATGGCTGGAGTTATGGCTCAATACTCAAGTTCCCCTGAGTTCAATCCCCAGAATTCCCCCCCAAAAAAGAAAAGATTCAGGAGAATAATAATGACACCCATGACAAGTGTGTGTGTGTGTATGCATAGATACAGTCATTCCCTCGGCCTGAGGTTTTGCTCTCTATGGTTTCAGTTAACCACAATCAATAGCAACCTAAAGATATCAAATAGGCAGCATGAGGAAATCTTGGGCCACCCTGCTTTGTCACCTGAGCAGTGAATCATTCCTCTTCCAGTGTATCCACACTGTATATGCTACCCACCCGTTTAGTCACTCAGTAGCCACCTCTGTGATCCAACTGACCATCACAGTATTGCAGTGTTTGTGTTCAAGTACATTTTAATGTACTGAGTGGCCCCCAAGTTAACAGTAGTGGGGCTGGCTGTTAAGACATGCTGAAGAGAAGCTATAAAGCACTTCCTTTAGGAGGTAAGGTGAAAATAAAATAAGATATTTTGAGAGAGAGTGACCACATTCAGCTAACTTTTAT